CGCACGCGTACGCGTGTGTGTAAGTGCAAGGACACGGACACAACGTCATAAAAAAAACAAACGATCAATTAAACCGGTACCCAAATTACAAAGAAAAATTTTTTTTAATTAAATAAATAAGGCAATATAAATTTGTGTGATAATAACAATTAACTTGTTTGTTAGGTGATAAAAAATTTTTAGGGAGGGGAGAATGAATGTCACACACGCACATAAATGATGATGATGAGATAACGACGACGCATGATAGTTGGTTCGATAGTTAAAAGTTCGAAGAATTTGAATCAATCAGTTAAACTGTGTCGTTCGTCGTTGATTTTAAATAACAATAAGGATAAATGGTTGAACGTATCTATCCCGATGATTCATTCGTTCTGCCTATTATTTTACATGATGATAAAATTTATAGCTATTTAATCCATTTAACCATATATTTAACCATCTATCTATATATGTTCAACTTGGATGGAAGGGAGTGAATATCATCCATCTATACAGTTATATAATTATATATTGCATGAAATGATGTAATGATTAAAAAAATATCAAAAATATACAACAAATTCGTCATAGAACCATCATCAGCGTCATTGTTTTATCTTGTATACTGTATATATAGCTAACCAGCAAGTAAATATTTATGTATAATTGGATAATAAATATGCGTTGTGAGTGTCAATTTAAAAAGAATTCTTTTTAAGATTTAAATTTTATTGACATAATTTTTCAAATAAAAATTTCTAAATATGGTAAATCAAATTAATGAATTAAAATTTTTTTGAATTTATAATTATTGGGCCACCTTGAACAGCCCCAATTTTTGTCAAGTGTGTGATTCGATCGAGTGAATGAGTGATCGATGTGATTAGATCTAAATTTATCTGAATTACCTTCTTGGGATTAGTATATACAAAGAAAGAAAAGAAAGACAAGAACAATCATACTAACACTGTTTATTTTCGATTTATAATTATAAAATATTTTAAAAAACGACCTTTAAAACTTTAAATTTTTTAACACATGATGATCATTATTGTGGTAAGATTAGCCAGTCCGATAACCACTTTTATATAAATTTGTAAGTTTTGTGTATGTATTTATATATTTAAATAGTTTTAATAAAATCACATTACTTTGGTATGGTTCTTTGTTCTTCTAGATTATGTAAAAAGCGAAATTTGATTGGTAGGCAAAATTTTATAAAATAATTGAATTTTGAGATTGAGAAAATATTGGCATTCTCATGTTAACCGCAATTAACAAATTGTTTTGCTGTCTAAATTTCATCATACATTAATCCATATAATAACGAATGTAATTATTATCATTAATTAATTATTAAGAGTAGGGAATATTGATTATTAATTGATTGATTGATTTTAATTGTGAATATAGATACTTGGAAAGCTACCTATGAATCAGCTCAAGTCTGTATTAGTGGTGCTATTGAACTTAAAAAATTGGCATATGAATCAGATCAATCATCAATTGGTATATTTTGTTTATGGTAAATATTATTAATCCATAAATGTTAATATTATTAATCATAAATACTAACCATACCTTTATATATTTTATATATATATATGCATTCTCTTCTAAAAAATTTTTTTAAAAGTAGACCACCTGGACATCATGCAAATCAGAATTTATGTGGTGGATATTGTTTTCTTAATAATGTTGCAATTGTTACCAACATTTTAATTGATAAAGAAAAAAATTTGAAAAAAGTTGTAATTTTAGATATTGATTATCATCAGTAAGTGACCATTACATATATATGTTATAATAATAATGATGATGATGATAAATATTTATATTTAACTTAAAAATTTTTTTAGTGGTAATGGAACTCAAGATATTTTTTATTCAGATTCAAATCCCTTATATGTTTCATTTCATGCAGAAAATGATTATCCATGGTATACAGGTGATGAGTCAGAGATTGGAATTGGTGAAGGTGAAAGTTACAATATCAACGTTCCTCTATCAAAAAATACTGATGATCAACAGTATTTAGAACAATTAAAAAATATTATAAATAATAAAATTATTCCTTACAATGCAAATTATCTTGCTGTTTCGTTAGGAGGTAAATATAAATAGTTTATTTTATTATTAAAGAAATATTAATTTATTAATTATTTGATTTATTAATTTATTTGATTTATTAATTACACTTATATATAAAATTTATTAACAAAGTTGACACATACAAAGATGATCCAATTGGAGGGTTAAACCTTACTTCTGAATGTTATCTTGAAATTGGCAAACTTATTAAATCAATAAATTTGCCAACTTTATTTGTATTGGAAGGTGGATATCATCTAGAAACCATAGGAATTAATGTCACAAATGTATTATTAGGATTTGAAAATTATTGATATCTATATTATTATTTACTATTATTATTATTAAATTTCACGGTTCAGCTAAACACCAAAATGACTTTTGTTCATATAAGATTATTTTCTGATTATTTATTTGGTAAATTTAATGATAAACCACAATTGCCAAATACAATATGACATGGTATGGCACATGTGACCAATCAGAAAATACTTTTTACATGTGTAAAGAAGGTAAATATAAAAGAAAGGAGGAGAATGATAAATACAAGTTATTGTTCTTTCTTCAAATTTGTTGAAAGCTGAGAAGTTTCTTCACCTGCACAGTCCTCTTGACCTTCCAGGGAATAGATCAGTTAGCAGAATCAACATTTTGGATTAATAATAAAGAAATGATAGTCACTCTCATATCAACATTCTAATTCTTAAATGATCCTGAAGTATATCCAAATGTTTCTAAACATAAATGGCAAAAAAATAAATTTCATTATTAATAATGTAAATCGTTATGTTAATAGGATTATTTTGATAGATGATGGAGATACCATAAACAATAGGTGCTTGTTCCAATCAAAAATTCAATCTGCATATTTGTCTTGCCTTCGAAGCAGCCTTAATCCATGATACATTTTGGTACAGTTTTAATTACAGCTTTGGAGTAAATCACACCCCATAAACTTGTAACTATTATTTTAATATTTTATATACTAATGTCAGAAATAAAATTATTGGAATGATAAAAATAAAAGCCCATGATACTATCAAATGGTACTGAATCTGAAGGATTTGTATTCACCTATTAATAAAAGATATATATAGCACAATTTTTCTCCAAAATTTATTCCTTTTAAAAAATTCAGTTTTGCTAATTATTTGTCTATTGAATATTAAGGCATTAGTGGTAAAACAATCTTTTGTTTTGTGGATGAATCAGAAAACCACAAAAATATTTTTCATGAAATATTTGAACATGAAATTTCATATGTCAATTACTATAATTTTTTTTGGAACACTGTAAAAATTTTAAAGATAAAAAAAAGCCAGGAACATAAAATTTTGTATGTAAATTCTACATTATTATATAAATTTTATGTGATATTGTTATGTGGGTTTTTGATCAAACACTGTCCAGATGTGAAAAGTATTGTTGTAAATGCTCTCTGGATTTTCTCCACCTGAAGCTTGAAGACTTTGATGACTTTATCCAAAAGTCAAGATGTGGTGTAGATAAAAAGGTGTAGTAAGAGTTACCATGATATTTCACAATTTAATTGAGATTTAGTATTGGATTATTTATAAAATTATTTTACAGAATTTTCCCACGTCGATCAAAATATGGATTTTGAAATTTTTAATCTTGTTTCTTGCATATTATTAGGATTAATAACATATATAGCACTATATTATATAAAATACTTTACAAGAACATCACCTTTACCAGGCCCAACACCTTTACCATTAATTGGTAATCTACACAGTGATAATTTAAATGAGTGGCTAAATAATTTACAATCTAAA